TGCGTGGCTTAACATACGTCACGCACTCCGTTGCTCTTATTGGTTGTAGGTCTATCCAATTGAGTGCAGAGGCATTTTTTTTCCTGGTTCGTTCGAAACACGCCCCATAATCACAGCTCTATGGAGCAGAATCAGACTCATATTCTGACTAGAATTGAGTCGGACTACGTCAGGCTAGGTAAAAACGTCCAAAACGTACAAAATGACGGTGCATAACTTTTCGTACGATTTTCATACGCACTCATAATGAGAACAGGTTGATTCATCACACTGTATTAAACAGATAAATGGAGGCAGATGTCTTTCAGTCATCAATGCACACATTCAGCGACACACAGGAGCTCTATCAAGCTGGGCACCATTTCATTCACAACACCTGTCCCATCAACCAGGAATCAGAAATATTTTAAAAATCCCAGGGCGAAATGATTTCCGTTACATTACTCCATCTGTAATAGAATGACTATAGGACCAGTTTTATATAACACAATTTCATACAATATATATATAATTAGGGGGTCCCCGCTCCATCTTGCCATCAGTGTGGGGGTCCTTGGCCTGGAAAACGTTGAAGACCCCTGCCATATAGAGTAAAAGTTGCCGTCAAATATTACACTGATTATTAACTCCAACACTTAGATTTACACTCAGTATCGCTGTAAATACGCCATTTAAAGTTAAACAGCCTAGCTCTGAACTTTTAACACCCATTTTTTACTGTGCAGAAAGAAAGTACTCACTAAATGTATTTAATCATGTTTTCAAATGTCAAAAAATAAATAAAAATGTTTAAGTTTAATCAACAGGATTTTTTGTAACAGTTTGCAAACATTTCATCTGAGTTAGAAAGGATCTGGGCACAGCAAGTTATTACAACAGCAACTGGAGTAAGATTAACACTATTAGAGAGTTAATTTAACACTAATTCAGAGTGGGACCAAATGCACTCAGATTGGTGTTACATTTAACTATTTGATATTTTAACCCTACAAAATAGACGTACATTTAACAGATAAACACTAAAGTGCATCGTAATCATACTTATTTTACTACAACTTAGTTACATTTTAACAATTGCGATAATTTTTCTCATCTGCGTTTTTAAAAAAATAAATAAAAGGTTACGTAAATAGTATACGACCAATGTTTAGATGGCGACTTAGTGGTTAGAGGTCCCCAAGTAAAACCCTTAACCCTAAAATACTCCCTGAGAGTTTAGCTAAATACAGAGAATAAATAATTGTGTTAAAACGATATAATCCTTTTCCCTGACGACCACAGTGCTCTGTTTAAGTTCATAAAGCACTGATTGCCTTGAAACTCACCAATTAGAAACGTTTGACTTTAGAATCAATTCAAAATGTTTTATTAGGTACATTTACATTTCCGCAATCCGAACTAAACTTTGGCTGATCGGAAATTCACATCCTCTGTTTACATGGACGCTAAATAAAATGATACGGTCATGATGTTAGTGTACCTGTATGCACGATCAGAATAAATCATTTAAGCACGCTCACAACTGTCCATCTTTCTTAACCCTATAATGCCAAATGTATCATATTTGATACATACGGTTCCTGAAATGTTTTGCGTCTGACACCTTTTGCATAATTTAATGGTAAAAACTTTGCTCAAAAGGGCAGAAGACTACAAAAAAAAATAACTTGACTTATCGCATAGTAATAAAATATTAATATCAAAAATGTTTTTCTGTTTTTTCTTTTTACATATTTTGTTAAAAGGCCAAAAAAAGGACTTCAAACCAAAAACAAAGTAATTTTCTATTTTGTTTTTTTCTTGGATCGGGCTTTAAAGGGTTAAAAAAACAGCTTAAAAACCTTACGCTGACGTTGGACACATGCACGATATTGACGATTGGAAAGAACCTCCTCTCTCCTTCAGAATCAAACTTCTTTCCCATCAGGGTGAACCGGATTAGAATCTTCAGTCTGACATGTTTACATTAAACTTTTCCGATCAGGACTTTACTCTGATTATTGGTTTCCTTGGAAACGTAGCTATTTTAGGGATCAGTTCAATAACAATATTTGGAAAACATCGGCTTGCCTCTAAAATCCCTGATATAAGCAGGTCGATAGAAACCTTCCACTTCTGTTTAAAGTTTCAGTAATCTAAAGCTGAAAAATAAATGGATCGGTTGCTCTCAGTCAAATCCTTTGATCAGGTATTTTCTAACACTTCTAAATGAGTATAAAAGTAAACATCGTATCTGGTCAATATTGTCATCCATCAATAATCAAATCTTTGATATCGGATCGGAATTGAAAAAACTGTTTTGGGACACATCTGTGTTTTTCTTTGTTGGTTTTACACATACGAGGAATTAGGTTTGGTAAAGAGGTGCTACACTGCAAAAACAATCTAGAAATAAGTAAAAATTTCTTAAATTAAGTGTACTTACCCTTAATTTGAGTAGGTAAATATGAGGATTTGCCAATAAAATTAGTATCTTTACTCTTAAAATAAGATAATTAGATAATATGAACTTGAAATAAGATAATGCTATTGTTTTTTCTTATTTTAAGTGTAAATTGTCTTGTCCCATTGGCAAAGTCTCTCACTTTCGTCCTCAATTGGAGAAAAAATGCACTTACTTTAAGGAAAAATTACTTACTTAGATTTCCATTTTTTGCAGTGTACATGCAGTTATCATAAATCAATATGGGAATAAAATATTTATAAAGGACAAAATCAAGTTTTATATGAAGAACATTGTGGCAGCAATCAGAAAACAACAATATTATGTAGATTTAATGATGTGTTTAGTATTAACTTTGCAGCTAAACTAGCTGGAAACAAACTTAAAGGTATATAGTCAGGTTATATGCAAAAAGTCCAAAATCCGGTTAAAGGAAAAATCCGCTCATATTCAGAATTCAAACTTCTGAAAGTTCTTTAAATATGAAATTATAAAACACTGTTCAATTAATGATAAGTGTTTTAATTAAGAGTAATTTTCATGTGAATGTGCTTTACTGGAGGCATCCA